CTGAGCCCTGGCAGCCCCCACCCCCATCCTCTGGCTTTAAAAGTTCCCAAACTCGGTGGTTTGTGGCTGGCAAAATGGACGCAGAGCCCTGCCCTGGTATCTAAGCACTTTCAAGAGACTGCAGGAGGATGCGGGACTGGTGAGTACTAGCAGGGACCAGAGAGATGTGGAGGTGCTCCAAGCCTTCCCCAAACACGTCAGGACCGATTGTGATGGTTTGAAACCTGCGGGCACACCGCCTCTACCCCAAATAAAAGAAAAAAAAAACATCTGAAGCAACACAGTATGACAAATATCACTTTAGATCATGGTCTTTCTTAATTTCCTGTGGTCAAGATGTGCTGGCTCAGACTCACTGATCTCAGGCTATTTGTGCCAGTCTGTGGTTTTAGGAGCAGGTGGGAACCCAGGGTGTTGAGGCGACTGAGGTATGGCTTGTGTGCACCTGCGCCTGGGCGTCTGTGTGTTGGAAGGGATTCTGATTTCTGAGCAGCACCTCTGTTGGTGCAGGGAATTGGGGATGGGTGGCAATTGGGAGGGAAAGCCCCAGGAGCAGCAGTATTCACCAGTTCAGTGGCTCATCCCATTGACAGCACCCACCCATTTCCCGTCACACCTGCCATGTAAGCACCCAGGGTAAAGCACATTTGCAGTGCTCCCTTCTGCCTGCATTCCCTCTGCAGAATTGGGGACTCAGCCAACTTCCCATGAAGTCACCAGGAGAAGAGAACAGGAACCTTGCCCCTGTGAGCAGACACATTTGAGCAGCAGTGGGGTGGAGACACATGTTTTCTGCCTCTTCCTGGGCCCCACCAGCCCCCACCCCCTAAGCCAGACCTGCTTCTGGATAGTAAACATCCTTGTTCTGCCCTCACCCTGGACCCACTTCCAAATACCACTCACTGTTCAGTTTCAATTTTCTCCTCATATGGCAGGAATAGGAATCTGTTATCCAAAATCATTCATCGGGGCTTGGCCACCCTAGTAAAAAATTTCCCTCTGTAATTCTTTAGTGACATGTGTTGTATATTTGGCAGGCAAAAAAAAAAAAAAAGTGCACTGGGGTCACCCCACTCCTCTAGAGAGACCTCTTTTACTCCATCCTGCATCTCAGAGCAAAAATTTCCAGGTGATTTGTAAAGGTTCCTATCAGTCATATGTTCAGGGATGAACTGGGTAGCATCTCACAAGACCACATTTTACATCTTTTTCTTCTAATGTGTATTCAAACTCTCTCTCTCTTTGGTTCCAGGATATTTGATTAGCTATAATAATAGCCTTTCCCTACCTCTCCCCAGCATCATAAATAATTTTCAAATCAGTCAAGCCATCTGAGTCCCTTTAAGATTTGCAAAGGGTTAACATTCACTGAAGCTTTGGATTTTCCCCAGCATCCTCTCTGTCCCCAGCCCTTACCCTGAATTTGGCTGGGTAATCACAGAGAGGAAGAAGCTGAAAAAGGGTCTGTCCTTAGCCTCCAGTAGAGCCTTTAGTGGGATACTTGTCGCAGCTATATTTAGTTTGGTATATCAGCAGCTAAATTATTCAAACAGAATCATTAGAAGGGGTTTATTTCCAACCCAGGAGGAGTGCTATGAAGTATGTGGCCTTTCACGTGTATTTACTAAATATTCATCATTGCTGTGTAATGAGAGGATAAAAGTGTAAGCAAAATTGCTAGCTATTAGCTAAACACAGAAAACTAGGTTAGCGTTCCAAATGCCTAGTTAGCATCTGCATTAATTTGCACTTTATGAAGACGTTTAGATAGAGATGCAACATTATGCACTCTACATTATACATCCATAAACTTAACTTTAAAAGGCCATTCATTCTTTCTTCATGGCCAAGGTGGCCTCCTCGTCCTGTGAGCAGAACTACTCACTCAGTGATGCCGACATAAGTCAGAATTATGCTCAGGAATATGATTATGATTCACAATTGCCACAGTCTGGGGGACTCAGACTCCTTTCTTTCCCACCTGAAAACCTTAGGATGTATAGAAATGAAATTCACTAAGGGTTAAAAATTGCGGCTCAGGGAGAGTTTAGTGGGTCTTTCTGTTTCCGTGATTTGCAGTTTTAATTTACTCATGACTGAGCTTTACCAGGAGCACAACACCATGAGCATAGAATCTACTAAATCTCAAATTAAAAAAAAAAAAAAATTAAAAACAAAGCACCTCTTCACTGTCTTGGGAAGAATTGCCCTGACAGGTAAATGAGTACTAATCCTGTCTGAGTTACTGGACATCAGTGATTGATGCACTGGAGGATTGGCTTTATTACTGAGGAATACCAGGCTGGAAAAGGCCAGCAGTATCTGCAGCATAAACATTTTGCAGAAGGAAAATGTTGATAGTAGCTTTGACCTATGGAAGGTGGGGATTGGCTTTATTACTGAGGAATACCAGGCTGGAAAAGGCCAGCAGTGTCTGCAGCATAAACATTTTGCAGAAGGAAAATGTTGATAGTAGCTTTGACCTATGGAAGGT